ATAAGAGAAAATACTTATATATATATATATATATATATATATATATATATATATATATATATATTCATGAATCAAAATGATAATAGGTATTTAAATTTAAAGACTTATTTGATTTTTTAAGGACTTGTTTAATATTTTCTTAATTTCAAAGATTAATATAATAATGTCTTCCAAATTTAGGAGCCAAAGTGAGTATTTACTCTAAAATGTAATGTAATGCATAGTATATTCTATTTTGATTTAGTAAATTTTTAAACTATATTTAATAAAATTATGATCAATGTAAATACTAATTTTTATTATAAATTCTTGAAAATTCAGTGATGTAGAATTATATTTATACTATTTTTAAATAAAATATTTAGTTTTTGTTATTTACAAATGTATATTTTATTAACTTTTTAATAGATTAGTAATTCCTTGTAAAATAAAATAAAATAAAATAGTAATTCAATTATCATTTTAAACATATGATTATCATTAATTTTTTTATAATTGAACTCCTTTATCAATAAGATAAATAATAATAATAATATTTATTTTTATTGCACTTGTTAATGAAACAGAAGTATAAGTTAACTCAATGAAAGAAAAGAAATTCTATTAATGAATGTTTTAAAAATATCCACTCAGCCAATTTTACCATGATCTCTCTTCCAATCATGTTTTACTCAAACTTGAAACTATATTTAAAATGATTAAGTCCAATCTCATTTAATACTATTGGTTCTTTATATAAGAAATAAGTGGTAGTTTATTTTATACCCTAATTTGTTTCTTATAAAAAAAGGTATTAATTTAAAGATAAAAAATAAATTTTTTATATATCTTACTATGCAAATATCTTTTATATTTATTTCTTAACTAATATTTTAAGAACTCATTAGTTATTTATTAAATGTTCAAAAGTTATTTAACATTAACTTTTTAAACACAAAGTTATTTAAAGTACTACACTAAATATTTCATAATTAATATTCTTTAAACATTTATTAGCGCAACAAGCCTATGCTGGGCTTTTGAAAGTTGCAATGATTTATCCTCGGGTTTTGAAGACTAGAAGCTGCTCAATCTTTGATTGAAACAAATTGTTTCCATTATGAATTTTAAAAAATAAATAAAAAAATAACAAAAACTATGACCATTTGATATAAAAAAATAAAAAATAAAATAATTTTGTATTATCAATGAGCATTGAGTAATGCATAATGAATAAAAACACACACTCCAGCGTGGTTTTTTGGTAAGCACACATAAAAAAATGAGTTCAATAAAGGGAGAGAGAGAGAGAGAAACTGAGTAAGCCATCGTTCAACGCAATGCCATGATGTCAGTCAATGTCAAAGTGTCAAATCCGGACAGAATTTCTTTCACGATTTTCACTTTTTAGTTGCAAAATTTTTTGTGTTTGTTACTTTTTGCACTTTACTTATTTATTTTCTCCATTTTCCATAACCAATGGCTTAAGCTTATTTATGATTATCTTTCCTTATTAGGCACCAAAAAGAGACAAACCAGTTTCTGTGTGCACTCTTACTACACTACATTGCATACACACCTTTCACTTCTGTCAGAGCTAAGACAATGTGTGAGTTTCAGGCACACACATTGTTCCATTCTCTTTCTCTGTCTTAGACAAACAAAAGCAATGGCTCTTTCAAACTTTGGAGGACTCTTTCACTTCACCCTCTCTTCTTCCGGCTACCCTTTGTTGCAATATAAAAGGTTTGTGCCTCTCTTCTTTCCATGCTCCTTGCATTGCTTCACTCCTTTCTTGTGTAAGCTTAATTTTTCTTATCTTTTGCTTTTCTTTGTGAAAGATCAGCTACTCCATTTTTTTGCTTTTTTTATTTATTTTTATTTTTGCCTTGTTATCTTTGGAATTTGATCTATGGCCTATAATGGTTTGCTTCTCCCTTTCTTTTATTTTACTCCCATCAATTTCATGTCACTGAAGTTTACCTCAGATATCAGTTAGATCTTCAGTTATGATGTTAATATCCCAGATGTAAATTTTACTCAGTTTTACTCCTTTTTCTGCTTGGAATTTGGAAGTTAACATGTTATGATTTATGAATCCATCTCTTAACTAATTAGATTTTGGCTTCATTTAAAAGGAAAAAAATGGTCAGGGGCATTTTGCTGTGGAATCTGGGATGGTTTAATGAGATTGTTTGTTTGTCGGTATTTGTTGCATGAGTTGTGAAATTGGAGTGGATTTTAAAATTACTACTCTTTTTTTTTTTTCATATAGTATTTGCTCCAATTTCATTTTGAACCTTATGGAACTTCCAAGGTTGAACATTTTGCTTATTGTTTGTATTCTATAATTTCAAGATTCTAGATGTGGCATCCATGCTCTTAGTAATTACTACATATATAATTGATATTGTTGTTGTTATTAGGGTATCCAAAAAAGCATAGGTAAATTCAAATGTTATGGTTTTGGTTGAAGCATCCTAAAAACCTCTCTGTATATCCCCCTTGTAAAGTCTTTTATGAGTCTCCCCTTGTAATGCCTATTGTGAAGTTTGTTATTAGATAAACTGGGGTTCATACAGTGCAGTGAGTCAAAAGATGATAACAAATTAAGGTGTAGGTGGTATACTATGGGCTACATTAAAAAGTGAATTTATGAACTAGTGATTTGAGCCCTGAATAATGTGAAATGTGATGTATTGTGAGCAATGCACAAATACTGGTGTTAGAAATATTTCTCTAGTGAATATGCCAGTGTTTTATTATTAATATTTTTTAAGAAATTTCTTGTGGAGGATTTCAAAGATGAGTAAGAGCTGCTATGGTGATTCTAGTGTAAGATCTCTCGAGCTGATAACTCTTCTGAATTAATACTAAATGTGTTGGTTATATAACAGAATTCCATGCAGTTCATCATAGAGGTACATTAAATGTCCTTATAATATTCATAAAACATACAATACACAGCAGATCTATTAAACAAACCTTGTAGATTCAGGCACATTTGTTATTGTTAACCCACATAATTCAATTTGCTCTATTTTAAATTTCTAGAATGAATTTTCTTTTACATATCCCTCAACTTCATTTTAATTTATTAACCAAAATGGTGAAATTGCTCACTTTGGGTGTCTTTTCCATCAATATTGACCAGAGTCACCAGACTCATACTTGTTCTCATATTTTAGTTTATACTTTATGTGAAGAATATGCTACATATCTTTAGTTTAAAAACAAAGAATTAATTTATATTTTTTTAGGAATTTGTTATTTATGTTTCAAATCTTTATGATGTTATTTAGATTTAAAGATATTATCAATTCGTTTTTGATTATTTTAGAATTTGTTTTCTCTTTTAATAATTGGATGCTATTAATATTTGAATTTTTGAATTACAGTTTAGCTCTATGTATAGAGCCAAAAAATAAAAGTTTGATAAATTTCTCTGCATAATATATTAATATAGCTCCTCTTCTTTTGAAAAATATTTATTTACAAAATAAAATAAAATAAATCATCACTTCATAGATCCTCTTTTATTCCCATTCAACTAAGCTTAAAATAAACTTTCTTGCTGGTGTTATTAGTCTCAATATTACCATTTGTTAAAAGCATGCCCAGAGATACCACTTCCTAAATGAAAATAAGGAGATGATTCACCACCTTGTGGACAACGAAAGCCTCAAATTATTTATTCAGGAAGATTATCTATTTTCTACCTCCAGTTTTCCCTTAAGCCTACCTTTTTGGGACAAATAAAACTTGAGGATCAAAAGGGAAGCCACCAAGAGAATAAGCTAATGTAGCAGAGATGAGAAAATTGTGTTGGATGAGTGAACATATTAGACAAAATAGGATTAAGAATGAATGCATTAAAGTCAGAGAAAAAGTTGAGGTAGCACCTATTGTAGAAATAAAAAATTATATAATCTCCTCTTAGATGGTTTGGACACACGTGGAGATGACCTATTAAAGCTCCGGTGCAAAGTTAGAGGAAAAGTAGTTCTATTTCTAGATGTAGAGAGACCAAGAAAACGTATAGGTGAAAAACCATTAAGAAGGATATTATGAAGGTCAATCATTTTTGTAGACATGATTCATAATAGAACATTAGGGTGTTGTTTTAATTCATGTAGTTGACCCCACTTGGTTATTGTTGAAAATATCCTGTAAATTGTTACCTGTAACCTGATATGTGTGTGTATGTGAGTATATATATATATATATATATATATATATATATATATATATATATTATTTGTACACAGAAAAAGTGTTATTTGTATATATATATATATATATATATTATTTGTAAACAGAAACAGATATAAATTTTATGGTTACTTGATCCTAGAATATACCACAAATTCCAGATACAAGTGATTTGCATTTTCTATCCATTGTAATCCATGTCTCAATGTTTAAAAGCTGTATTGGGTCTCTTGCACTGTAATTTCCTCCTCACATCATAGCTTAAAAGTGATATATGCAGAACAGCACAACAAACATTAAAGTAGGCAATCTAAAGAAAACAATTATTTTCTTCATCTATGTCTTATACAGACTTCAATGAATGAAAACAGAGTTGTAGTTTCTTTTATGGTAAGTAAATAGAACATGCACTCTGATTGGTTTAATTAAATGATGACAAAACATGGATAAAAGACCATTGATGATTGATCCTACTTATGCCTTTTCTTTTAAAGCTTTAAAACCCAGTCTGGTTCTGGAAGAAAATTGAGTCTAGTCTGTCATCAATTGATTCAAGACACTACTGCATATGTTGCCTTCCAAAATTGAAACAAGATATATGCTTAAAAGTAATAGTCATGCGTAAACATACCTGAAAGTGTTGAGAATACTAGTCGTGAATGGAAGGCTGTATGTGGAATGCAACAAATGTGTGGTTTCTATGCATTTCATGTGGTTTCATATTGGGATACAAAAGATTGGTAATGATGTTATCTGGAGAAAACTATATGGCTGAAGAGATTCATTTTCTTTCACAGTTAACATGTTCAAGAAAAACAAGTTTCATCCATTATTTTTTCTTTTGTATTGTAATACATAACTATCTGTCACCTAGGTAGGTCTCTCAATGTTAGATTATGTTAGTCTATCTAAGAGTTTGTTTGGATTGATGGGGTTATTTATAAGACTATTTCACACACAATTCCACAACGATGAGATATTGTCTGTTTTGGACTTAAGTCCTCACGGTTTTGCATTTGGTCATTATCCAAAAGGCCTTTCAATTATTGGAGTACGTGTATGTTTTATAAGTTATATTTCTCCTCTTATTTTATCAACGTGGGATTTTATTTGCATCCCAACAATCCTCCTTTCTCTCCATAAACAAGGGACCTAACCTCTTACAGTAGAAAGGAATATTTTATAAGGGTTATAACTTTGTTATTTTAAGGTTATTCCACACACAACTGCACAATGATGAGATATTATCCGTTTTTTGACGTAAGTCCTCATGATTTGGCTTATAATCATCACCTAAATGGTCTCTCAATCAATGTGAGACTTTGTTTGTATCCCAACAATCCTCCCCCCTCCCTACAAACAAGGGACCTAACCTCTTAAGGCAGAAAGGAGATATTTTATAAGGGTTATAACTTTGTTAGTTTTATAAGGTTATTTCACACACAACTCTACAATGATGAGCTATTGTCCGTTTTGAACAAGTTCTCACCCAAAAGGCCTCTCAATCATTGGAGTATGTGTATACTTTATATGTTGTTATTTCTTCTCTTGTTTTATTAATGTGAGACCTTATCCCAACATGGATACGGTCTATAAGGACTTTTGAGAGTTTTTTTTATAGGAAATAAAGTGTATTTTTCCAATTGAGAAACTCTTAATAGCCTTTATAAGCAAGTATCCAAACATGCTCTAAGCAAAATCATGTGCTTTCAATTTTGATGTTTTGTCAAATACATGGTATTTTGTGATTCTTAAAATGATTTTTTTTGTCCTTGTGTATATGCAGGTAGGAAATAGATATTGACTGCTTTCTGGGATCACTCATACAATGAAATCAAGTTTTAAAAATGGTTGGCCCTCTGTCGTGCGTCTTCGACTCAGAGACAAATCAGTCACCCCCTTTTGCATATTCTCTAAAGTGAAATCAGCTGGCAACATACCTGGGAATACTCCTGTCTATCTCAATGTCTATGACTTGACAACAGTAAATGGCTATATGTTTTGGGCAGGCCTTGGTATTTTCCACTCAGGGGTTGAAGGTCAGCTGACAGTTAAAACCTTTTCAAATATCTCCAAAAATGTTTCTTCTTTTTATGCAAAAAATATGTGCCTAGAGTTTTGATTCAAAGGTATTTCTATCTTTTTTTTTTGCTCCATGGACATAGTACACATAGTAAGTTGATAACTAAGGACTAATTTGCACTCACATGGGATAACTTTTGCTAACCAAACATTATTTTAACTTTTAACACTTTGGGAATCGGACCTGGTTTTTAATATTTTAACATTATGACACCTTTCCATGGAGCTTACATCCTATATTTCACAAGATTTGATTTTTGATAGTGTTTGATCATATGGCCATTTAATGCTATTTTTTGATCCAAGTAGTCCACTCCACCTGTGGGATAAAGCTTAGTTATTGTTGTATGCTGTTGCTCTTGTACTGCTAATATCCAAGTAGTCAAATTTATAATATCTTTTCTGTATCTCTAATTATTTAGCAAAATTTCAGTACTCCTGCACTACCTAGCTACTCCTTGTTTAGTTATCACTTCAATGGTTTCTTATTTTAAGAAAATAAAATTAGAAGGAAAATTTTTTTTACCAGGTGTTATGATTTGAATGGAGGGAGTACGCAGTTCTAAGGGAATGAAAATATTTCTATAATTATCATGGAGACAGAAAAACCTCTAATATACCTACTGAAAGATCATTTAACTCTCACTTTAAAGATTTAGATTAGATGAATGTTTGATCACATGCATACATAGGCAAAGTAGTAAACTGACATTTCATATTTTGGAGAAAGACTATGTATCAATGCATGTACATATCACTTATATCTGTGAATATTTATTACTTTTGCTTTATTTGGAGAAAGATAGTTCTGGATTCCCTGAAAATTTTCTAAAATTGGGTTATTATGCTGATAGTTTATGGAGTAGAATATGCATTTGGAGCTCATGACTATCCAACAAGTGGTGTCTTTGAGGTTGAACCTAGGCAGTGTCCTGGATTTAAGTTTAGGAAGTCAATATTCATGGGAACTACTAGCTTAGATCCTTTCCAGATTAGAGAGTTCATGGAGCGCCAGTCTGCAAATTTCAATGGTGATACCTATCACTTGATTGTGAAGAATTGCAACCATTTCTGTGAGGATATTTGTTACAAGCTAACAGGCAATTCTATACCAAAATGGGTCAATCGTCTTGCAAGAATAGGTAAATGACATCTTTTAAACTTTTGAGTTGTATCACTTTGATATTGGTAAAGCAGTTGCATCAGAACACCATTCTTCCTTGAATGTATGGGCAAGTAATGAACAATTGAAACCTAAAAATGCTTTTAAATTTTGGTTCCACATCTCGGTGGAAGCTTTGGTTAAATTATTTCATGCATTGTAGATAGTCTTTCATGGCAAATGTAACGTAGGGAACCTTTGCTCCCCCTTTTCGGGTTACGCGGGGCATCTGCTAAAAAGGCAATATCTGACATTTGCAGGCTCACTATTTAGGCCATGATTGTTTGATTAGGTGGAAATATTGGAGTGAGAATTACTTTACATGCATTTGCACACCACCCCACAAAATTTTGACCATGATTTCCCATCCTCTCTACCAAATAACAATGGATGAATCAAAACCCTTCCATCCCATTTTACTTTTCACTTCACCCTACTCCCTACCTACTTGTTGGGAGCATAATTTTAGGATCTGTTTGAATGAACTTCTATATGAATACTTATAGTAGAAGAAAAAATGAAATTTCTCCGGTTAAAATTAGCTTATACATAAGTTAATTTGTAAAATTTCTCTCATATTAGTTTATTCAAAAACTTATTTTTAATTTTTGTATAAGCTCATTTTAGCTTATAGAAAAGCTAATTTCATTTTCTTTCTTATATTCTTCTCCTAATAATACTTATGGAGAAGTCTATCTAAACCCTTACCATAGTTGACTTAAAACAATTTGTGCTTAAACTATTATAATCATTTCATAGAAGAAGCAAGTTTCACCTTTTCAAGAAAGAGCCATCTGGGGTGGAATTCATTCTCGCAGTCAAAATTCTTGGTGATGCTTCTCTGACTTATCATTTCTTGTCCTCCTTGTAGGTTCCTTTTGCAACTGCATACTCCCTGAAGCTCTTAAAACTTCCACTGTTCAGCATGATCCCAACGTTCAAGGGTGTGAGAGTGAGAAAAGAAGACTGAGAACCGCCTTCAGTTGCTTGTCATCAATCTCAATGCCTCAGAAGGAAGTATCAATGTCTTCATTATTTATGCACTCTCACTATAAAGGTTGCTTACCCCCATGGGAGTTAAAGAAGTCTAAAAAGGGCTCACTAAAGAAAAAGTTAGAAGACTAGTTTCCCTCTCAGTAACTCTTCTCTGCTGTAGAGTATCCATTGTCTTTCTGGTAACTTGATCATTGGAAAGAAATTATTGCTTTCAGTCATATGTGCAAGTGCTCTTTCTCAAGTGCAAAATTTTATGTGCATATTTATTTTGAATATTCAAGCTCATGGCTTTGTGGCTTTTTTTTACTTTCTCTCTCTTTTTTTGTGTCTAGTTTTCTGCTTGTAATCTTCGCTTGATTGTGAATCTATGCCAGATATATTGCTGTGTCAGCTCAATTTTTTATAGCTGGAGAAAAAAATGTCATGTCAAATAAAAACAAAAATAGTAAAATACCATACCAGTATAAAATGAAAAAGAAAGGAAAGAAGTAAAAGGGAAATGTGGATTTTTTTTTCTTTCTGAATAAGAAATGTGGATGTCAGTGATAACCAACCAAACTTCCATGACAAATAACTATAGCATATTTTTTCCAATTTTTCACAATCTATTAAATGGTGTGTTTGATGGAGAGAAAAGAAATAACTGAGAAATAGATAAATGAAAATAAGAAATAAATAAAGTAAAAATTTAATTGTTTGATTTTAGAGAAATGAAAAAGAAATAGAGAAAAAAAATAATATTATGTAAAAATAGATAAAATAAAAATAAATTTAAAGTAAGTAAAAAAGAAAGAAAAAAATTAAAAAATATTTTAAAATTAATTTTAATTAATTATTTTATTCTAATATTAAATTAAAAGATTTAAAATGTTGTCGCAATTATTTACGAAAACATATTCAATCGATTGCGTTGAATATGCTGAAACATATTCAGCTAAAATAGCCCAAACAATCGATTGAATAAATGGCTTGATCGATTAAATGAAGAAAATATTTATAATTAATTTCGCGTATAAAAAGTAGTTTAATCGATTGCAGTATTTTTTAGTGCGTGTTTGAATTTGAGTTTGGAGAATTGATTTGAGATTAACGAGATTTTATATAATTAATTTTAAGTAAACGTAATTTTAAAGTAACGTGATTTTTGTTTGAATACATTTATTAGAAAATTAATTTTCATATTAAATGATGTTTGAAAAATAGTTATCTTTAAGTGTATAATTACCAAAATGAACCTTAGCTAATTGTTGATTTTTTTTGTATTGTAATGTATTATTTTTTAATTGTATATTGACATGTATATTATTAAATTTATAACATGTTAAAAATAATAATTAATATATTACCTTATTATATAAATGGATGTCTATAAAAACAAGTAAAAAAGTTAAAGTAAATTAACAATATATAAAGAAGCAACACTACAACATAGGAAAAAAGGAAAATACTTTTTAATGCAATAAAATAACCTACAACATCAATACTAATGTTTGTTCTTCAATTGTACAATTTCATCTCGTATTGAATCTCGAACTTGATCCATTTTGGATGAAGAAATAACATTTAGAACTTGATTTTGCTCTAAGTTGACTGTACCATGATAATTATCATTTAATTCAAGGGTTATGTTCTCATCTTCATAATGACTAAAATTAACATCACTTTCTACATTCCTTCTAATAAAATTGTGTATAGCCATTGTTGCACATACAATTTGCACTTGGGTTTCCAGTTTATACTGAGGCATGTGTCGCAAGATTGCAAATCTATTCTTCCATATCCCAAAGGTTCTCTCAATTGTACACCTTAAACTTGAGTGGTAATAATTGAAAACTTCATTATTATTTTCAAACCCATTCTTACGTCTAAAATCCGGTAAATGATAACATTCACATCTATAGGGACCAAGATATCCCACTGGTGTTGGATAACCAACATCTACCAAATAATATTTACCTATTAAAAAAGTAAAAAAAGTTAATATAATTTAATTAAAATTGGAATTCAATTGTATTGATATAAATAAATAATACCTTGAGGAGGATGTGGAAAACTCAAGTCGGCAGTTGTGAGAGTATGATCGAAGATTCGAGCATCATGCACAATACCTTCCCATCCAGCTAGTACAAAAGTAAAACACATGTTCCAATCACAAACTGCCATTATATTTTGTGTTGGAGTACCCTTTCTCCTAATAAATCTTGCTTGGTCACTAGGAGTAACCACACATGGATCATGAGTTTCATCAATTGCCCCTATTGCATACTTAAAAAATGGCCAGTTTCGTGTATCATTTTCTATTTTGGCTTGACTATCATGAAATAGAGGATCTTGTGGCCTAATATATTCTACACATAACTTAAGGCAAGCATTTAATACCTTATGGATATGTCTACTAATAGTCTCTCCATAAGCATTTTGAACCTAAGTCTTGTCTGTTTCAAATCTAAATCTTCATGGTTTTATTTTTTATTATCATCCAAAAAAATCCCTTAATCATTAGAGTATTAGAGTATGTGTGTGATGACAAATCTTGGAGAATGATAAATATTTTCTCCAATTGACTTAGTCCAAGCTCCTTGGATCTTCCTTGAGCGAATCTTGGACATGAAAGGAGAAGAAGAAGAGCTGAAGATGCTAGAATTTTTGAAATTGGAAGCACCTAAACTAATGGAACAAATGATTGTTCACAAGGTGCCAAACCTAGAAGCTTTTGTAAGAACCCTAGATCCTAGGCGTCTAAAATGGACTTCAAGTGAGAGAGAATTTTGCAAATGCAGAATGCTTTGTATCATATACTCAAAGTGTGTACAAGTGAGTGAGGAGAGCTCAATTATAGGTCAAGGAAGCTTCAAATTAGCCCCACACATGATACAAACATTTTGGCACCAAAAATTTGAATTTCCAAGGGAATTTGAAATTCAAATTTCCTTTGGCTGCCATATACTTATCTCATGTGCAGATCCAGTTTAATTTAAGTTGCATTTAGGGTTAATTTGAGGTTACTTGGGGCTAATCATGTACAACCAACCTCATGCTAGCACATGTGCATCAAATGCATCTCAAATTACACTTGAATGTGACTTAATTTAGCTAACTTTGCTTAATTAAATTTTTCCTCTCAAAACCTACTCTAATGGCCTAAATATAATGACCAAACTATCCTGAATATTAAGAAATAATAAAAGAAGCAAAAATGAGTCCAATATTGGTACCAATATACCTAAGGCCCATTAAACCCAAAAATAGGTCCAATAAACTTAAGGCCTAAAAACCCTAATCTATGTGGCCCAAAATACAAGAGCAAATGTATGTAACCTATACTAATATGATACATACTACATGGTGGATAATCAAGATCTTTGAGTATAGTTTATGTGAAGAGTAACTTGGGCTCATCAAGCCCACCGGACTTTGAACAAGCCAAATTTTCATGACTAATTCATTCCTCTTGGATCTTTCAATATGTTACTTCTTGTCCTCTTTAGCATGATTCTATCAATATGTTTTATAAACTATTATCATTTCTCTTATTTTATCAACGTGAGATCTTATTTATATCATAATAGATGATAAAATATAAAATAAAATAATTAAATAACCATTTGATCTTATATGAGATATTTCTCACACTAATCTAAACTTTTAAATATCAAAGATGGGAAATTATCGATGAAAAAGAAAATTTCATTTACTTTATTTTCATTTTCAGTGAAGAGGCATATCACCGGCCTACTAAGTCGAAACTCGAGACACCATATCTTTTGATTCTTTTTGAAATTCCCTTGTCTCCTTTAGTTGCTCTGCTCATGCCACGTTCCCATCTCAATAAAATTAAATAAATTAATTAAGGCTATGAAATTGTCGTAATAATTCAAGAACCTACCTGGCAGTCAATGACCATTATTATCTTCTAATTCACCTTATCTAATAATATCAACTAATTCAAACAGTTTAGAAGTGAAGTCAACCTCAACCTTGTTCACGATGTTATCTTCCCAATCTTTCTATTTTTTCTGATCCATAGCCAATCAGACTTTACACCACATTTGGTTCATAAAGTTAATATAAATAAATAATACATGCACACATACCATAAAAAGCCCTTTTATAAATCATCTAATTATAAATTATAAGTTTGTTAATTTTTATTATACCTAAAAGATAATTTTGATGGATTAAATGACTAGTCACGATAATAATAAATTTTGATTAATTAACGGTGTATAATTTTTATAAATGTGCATGTATATTATTAAACTCAATTAATATTGATGGTGTTAAATAATATTTGGTGAGAAGTTACATTTTTGAGTAATCAATTTAAGGGGTATATTGGTTTAGGATTTCATAGAGTTTATAATATTGTAGTACTTTTCTCATTCTATTTCCCTACGGATTTTAAAAGACTTTGCAAGATTTTAAAGGACTTTTTTATATATGAACAATGAACAATAGTACAGTATTATTAGCAGAGAAAAAATGGAGAAGACGGGAGCATAGAAAAAAAAAGATGAAAAACTCATTTAGAAATTCTTGAAGCACTTGAAAATTCACTTCAAACAATCCTCCAAAATTCGATAGGTTTGGATGAGATTGTTTTATGTGTAACAACCCAATTTTTCGTTGGGCTAAGGGCCCAATTCGTTGCCCGGAACGGGCCATTTCAAAAGTGAAACGGGTCGTTCCGGAATAAGAGAATGCTTAGAAAACGAAGTGGGAGAACGGGTCGTTCCAATTGGAGAACGGGTCGTTCCAATTGGAGAATGGGCCGTTCTGGTTTGGAGAACGGGTCGTTCTAGAGGGAGAACGGGCCGTTCCGGAGGGAGAACAGACCGTTCTGGAAACAGAACGGGCCGTTCTGCCGGGTTTGAGAACGGGCCGTTCCAGTTGAGAAATTTGGGTAGGTTTGAAGGGTCCAAAACGGGCGTTCCAATTTTGGAACGGGCCGTTCCGGTAGGTGAGCCTAAAATCCTATAAATAGCGCCCCCACCTCTCATCTTCACACATCTCTCATTCTCTCTTGCTATTATCTTCTATTATCTCTTCTTTCCCTCTTCTTCTCTCTGAAGACCAAGGGGAATTTGGAGGAAGAGACCAAGAGATTCCTGTTTTAGTTCAACCGTTGTTTATCCAGGTACGGGGGAAAATGGAGTTATTTATATGTAGAGTTACATGAGGGAATTGGGTAGAGGAAGAACCCTAATTTTATAATTATTTCTATTTGGAGAATTCTTGATGATTTTATGTGATTCTATATGAATTTAGGGTTATGAATATATATTTTATTTGTAAAAATGATGCTCTGGGAGAGAGAACGAAATTATAGAAAAGTGCCTGTAGGCTAGGTTTTGGAAAAATTGGAATATTTCTGTTTGAGAAATTGATGATCCCATTAGATTCTG